AAAAGATAACGCTCCTAAGACCACATAGCCAGTAAGTAAGTGGTGGCCCTAGGGCTTAAACTTTTATTGTTGTTGTTCAGTCATGTCTGACTCTTGGTGACCCCATTTGGGGTTTTCTTGGTAAAAATACTGGAGTAAAGGTTTGTTATTTACTTCTCTAGCTTATTTTACAGATGAGGAAACTGAGGTAAACAGGGTTAAGTGACTTGTCCAAGGTCACACAACTAGTAAGTGTCTCAGGCTGGAGTTGAACTCACAAAGATGAATCTTCCTGACTCTAGGTACAGCAGTTTATCCACTGCACCACCTAGCTCCCTTTTTCTAGAGTGGCCATGCATAGAAAGAAGGTATCAGTGTTATTGAAGAGGATCTCCTTTAGTGCAGACTGGTGGCTGAAAAAAATGTCAGACTTGGGGTCAGGAGATATGCAATGTTGAAAGGACCCAACAGGAAAACATGCCTACAAATAGGTATATCAGGGTCATGGGGTATGAAAGGACCCATGTGATTCAAGACTGATACCCTTTTTTTTTTTTGGCTTTTTGGTGAGGCGATTGGGGTTAAGTGACTTGACCAGGGTCACACAGCTAGTAAGTGTTAAGTGTCTGAGGCTGGATTTGAACTCAGGTCCTCCTGACTCCAAGGCCAGAGCTCTATTCACTGCGCCACCTAGCTGCCCCAATACCTATTTTTTAAGAGGCAGCATTGTGCAGTGATGTGTAGACACTAAGATAGAAGTGGCTTTTACTAGGCAATCAGGAAGTCTCCAGGGAGCAGTCACTCTTTGGAAAGTCAGAACTACAGCTAATAGAGAACTGTTCTGGAAATCAGGAAGATCTGGATTCAAGTGATGCCTCTGACATGTTCTAGATTCCTGCCATTGGGCAAGTCATTAACTTTCAGTGCTCTTAAGACTCTTCAGTTGCCTATATGGTGCTGACCTGCATTGTAGAGGAAGTTTTCTCCTCTGGAACTTCCTTATGACAATAAAGGGAAGAGAAAGGGAAGAGGAAACGAGTAAGTATCAGGGGTCACATAGCTAGTAAAATGTCTGTGGTCTTCCTGACTCCAGGCCTAGTCCGCTAACCACTGCACTCATAGATCCAGCCCATATCCCTATCCGTGTGAAAGATAAAACAGAAGAGTAAAAGATTACACCAGCTTTGAGAGTATGGGAGAGTGAGTGAATGATGGTTTTGACAAAAAGATTAAGAGGAAAAATAGTTATAAGCATAAAGTTTTCTCAGACTTAAACCAGTAGTATGCTTTACTTGGTAACCTCTTCAGTGACTGTTCCAAGATCTAATTTCCATCTTAATTCTTCAAAATCAAATCAAGGATTATTAGCTTCATTTTATGGATAAGGAAACTGAGGCCCAATGAGATCACACAGTGAGTTAATGACAGTTAATTGATTCATAAGCATTAAGTGTCTCCCTTCTCCCAAGCACTGTGCTATGTATTGGGGGATAAAAATGCAAAAGTGACAGTCCCTGCCCTCAAAAAAAAATTTAACTAGGGAATGTGACATACTAAAAGATATTTAGTGGCTATACTGGTAAATATTTAACAACGAGCACTAAAGAAAAAAATGTTCCCAGGACACACTTAAGTTTAATCTGCATTAATAATATTTTCTCCATCATTTAACACTGGGCAATCAACAAAACAATAATGCTCACACTGAAAATTTAATGATCATCTCTTGTGAGCAGGCTCTAACACACAAATATAAAATATGCAGTAATGGGCCTTGTGCATTAACAACTGGGAGAGGGGGCTGTGGAAGGGAAAAGTCATTTGAAGGCAATGGTACTTGAGCAGAGCACTGGTGGGAGCTTGAGAATGAGCAGAACTGAGATCGTAAAGGGGGTGGGGTGTAGTACAGTCTCCATTTTTAAGGGCTTTGGGGAACTTGGAAAGGTTATGCTTTCTCGGGGTAATACTTAAATGCATCTGTCCAATTTGTATCTTGAAGAAGGGAAAATCTTCCTTAGCTACATTCCTCAAGGGTGAGGCCAGAGGAATACAGTGTCAGGGAAGAGAGAGGCCTGTTTATTTAATTCCCCAACTGTGCCTAGGAGTAGATTCGTGAGTCATTCACATTCCTCCCAACTGGTTGTGTGGAGTAAAGTGGGGCTACCCTGGGCTGAGGTGGGTGGGGAAGATAAGTAAGCCTTTGGAAAGGTGCCTCAACCAGCTTAAAAAAAAAAAGTAAAAAACTGATAACATGAAGGCAAAAAAGAATTATTCTGAGAATGTGGTTTCTGATAAGGGAAAAACCAGCAGAGATTTGTCAGCTGTTTGTGTGAAGTTGTAGATTCTCAGTCATTCGCATTGGGACACTTAGTTGCTAGGCTACCCATTTGGCCCACTTCTTTCCCTTCCATCTTCTTCCCCTCCCCCAGTCCTGTTTCCCTCCTCCGCTCTCCATCACTCCCCGAGGACTGTATAAAATCATGGATTGTCACAGAGCGCAGGGGCCAATCATCTAGGACCAAGCCCCTCTCATTTTACAGATGAGAAAACTAAAGCTAAGAAGAGGGAGTTGCCTGAGGTACGTGTACAATGTGTTAGGGTCAGCATAAAGACTCACACCCAACTCTCTTAACTTCTTTTCCTTGGCTCTTTTACTGTACTATGTTGTCTCCTTAAAACCAAAAACAAAAAAGGCAAAAATACGTGCTTTGTGTTCTCTCTCTTCTTTCTCCATAGGGAACATGTATAAATTTGAATGCTAGATTTGCAGTTAGAGGACCTGGGTTTGATCCTTTACTCTGCCTTTTGCTGCTTCTGTGGCCTCTAGGATCCTATCCAGCTTTTAATTAAAGCTCTGTGACCTTGGATAAATTGCTTTACCTCTCTGCATCTCAGTTTCCTCATCTGTAAAATTCAGGAATTAGAAGAATTAGAAGAGACAACCTCTGGGGTACCTTCAAACTCTAAAATGCTTTGATTCCCTGAACATGGGCAGGTTCCTTTCCCTTTCTGAGCTTCATCTATAAAAGGAGAGAGTTAGACTGAGTGTCCTGTTGGGCCCTTTCCTTTCCTAAAGTTTCTTGGAAAGTGTCCTAGTGTAGTCTACTGGATTTGGAACCAGAAAGAACTGGGTTCAAAATCCACTTCTGACATTTATTAGTCGAGTGACCACGGACAAATGGATTAGTCTCTCTGAGACTTTTTCCTCTTCTCTAAAATTGGGCTAATCATCCTTTCTCTATATGCCTCATAGCTCTTCCGGTGGGAGCAAGCATGATAGAAATTTGAGCTGTTTCTCATTTGTTCAGCACATGGACATTTGGTGTATATCAGTTGTGCAGGAAGGGTCCTTTGTTTTTGTTGTCTTCTATCTTCCAGTTTTTCATAGGAATAGTCCAAAGCCAAGCCTTAATGCTTTCCCAAGTTCCTAAGGGAGCTAGCATAATAAATAACCTGGCCTTTCTTTGTAGTCCCTAGTAATGGAGAATGATATGAGAAGAAAGTTGAGAATTAATCATCTGAAATTCACCTGCTTCCTGTTTTTACTCCCCCATGCCTTTCTCTTCATCCTCAGTAAAGAGGTCAGATGAGATGGGCTTTAAGACCTCTTCTACTTTTAATGTTACATGTGTCTGTGATGGTTACTTCAAGTTCTAAATATTCTTTCTGTTACTCCCTTCCTCCAAAGTTCCCCCTTCTCCCTTTCTTTTGTTGCCTTCTAGCCTAATTATTCTCTCTCCCTTTCTTCTCTCTCTCCCCTCTCCTTATCTTCATTTCTCTCTCTTTTTTCTTTCTCTTCCTTCTCCCATCTTCCTTTCTTACTCCTTGAAATACATTCCTAAGGGATTCATTTCTCTCCCACTCTACCTCTCTGCTTTGCGCCCCTCACACCCCAACATTTTTATCTCTTGGCATTTCCCAGCATTGATGTTACACAGCAATTATTTGTTCATACACCTTCATCTGAAACCTGGCTCATCAGGTCTGAATTGGGGAGATAGACAAAGCAACGGGAATGGGATATGGGAAGTGAACATTTAGTCGAGTATTATGATTTGATTGCAAAAAGTACTTGAAGTCTTCAAATACTCTTGTCTGTCTGAAGGGGAATGGATTTAATTTTCCTTTGTGTAAGTTTCTTTTTTTAGCCTTGGACCATAGATCAGAGAATCATTGATTCATAGAATGTCAGACCTGGAGGGTGCCTTAGAATTTTGGAACATAGAATGCCAAAGTTGAGAGAGGTCATAGAATCATAGGAAATACAATGCCAGAGCTGGAAGGAACCTTAGAATTGCAAGTCATAGAATGCCATAGGCAGGAGAGGTATGAATGTCAGAGAATATCAGAGCTTGAAGTGAGGGGAGGGTTAGAATTATGGAATGCCAGAGCTGGATCACATTTTAGACCTTAGACTCATATGTCCTAGTTTAAAGAGCCTTCAGGGATCAGCTATCTTGTCTAACCTTTTGGAAGCTGAGGGCAAAAAAATGAAAAGATTTGTCACAAGTCACATAGCTATGAACTGATAGGATCAGGACCAGAAATCATATCTCCTGGCTTCAGTCCAGGGCTCTTTCTGTTATACCATAGGCCTTCATACCTTTGGGGGAGCTTGGCTTAGGGGAAGGTGCATGTGCCTCAGCCAGGCTTTCTACGGCAGCATTGACTCTTGTGACCATGTTTCCTTTGTAAATAAGTTAGGCAGTAAAAGTGATATTCTCTTAATTTGGAATTAAAAATAACGTCCTTTAAAAAGCATCCTTTCATTTCATTAGAATAGGCCTGCGAGGTAGGAAGAACAAATAATCCTCATTTGACAAATGGAGATATGAATACTTAGAAAGGGGAACCACGTCAGCACGGTGACAAGCCTAACCTTTTTCAGAGCCAGGATCAGCTGTCTCAGTCCTTAGACTGGTATCTTAGTTATACCTGAGGGAATTCTGTGTGGATGGGACAGCAGTTAATTTGGCCAAAGGTTAACATGTTGCTCCCTTTCTCTTTTTTTGTCTTTCAAGACTCCTCTTGCAATTACATCAGACAATTGGAAACGAAGGTGAAACTGCTGGAGGATGACAACAAGCTTCTCTCTCAGGTATGGCTGGGGCTGTCAATCACCCATGCTGCACATGCATGTTGATGTATGTTTTCCCATGAACAGCACCATATAATATCCCCATGGCTTCTTCCCACTTCTTCCTTTTTTCCTTCCTCCCTCCCTCCTTCTTTTCTTCCTCCTTCCCTCCTTTCTTTCATCCCCCCCTTTCCTTCTTTCCTTCCTTCCTTCCTACTTCCCTTCCTCCCTCCCTCCATCACTCTGACCAATTACTTCTACCCGTGATCACCACCCCTGTTTGGAGGTGAAAGAGAAAGGCAACATCTATTTCCACAGTGCTGCTATATACTTTTCAAAGAAAAATCTGATTTAATCCTCACAAGAATGAGGCATGGAAAGTATGCCCTCATTTGTAGTGAAAAGGACACTGAGTCTGAGAGATGTAATGCAACCTATCCAAGGTCAGTCAATAAATCAGTAAACATTTATTAAATGCCTACTGTGTCTACTGTGCCTTATAAGTACTGGGAATACAAAGAAAGGTCACCCAGGGTGTTAGGCAGCAAAATTGAACAAGAGCTAAGTCCTAAGGTTTTCTGTCTGATGTCACAGTGCAGGGGTAGGAGATGTGAAAAAGGAATCTTGAGGAGGAAGTAGCATATTTAGAGTCAAAGCATCTTAGTTAATTGTGCCACCAGCTTTGAGATGAAGGAACCAGATTTTTGCCTTTATGTTCTCTTTGTCTTTCTGTCTCTCTTGCCCTCCTCTCTCTTTGTGCATCTGTCTTTCTCTTTTTTCCTTTTCTTTGAGATCTTGAAATTCAGCTTTCTAGCTCTGATATTCTGAGACTTTTGACTCTTGCTCCTAAATTCCTCTCTGGACCCTGCTCCTGACTTTCCAGACTTGTTTCTCCACTGTGACCCAGCAGCCTCCTCAACCTGGAAGGTCACTCTGTCCCTGTTGCTTCCTCTGATTGGTTAGTTCCTCCTGGAACCTCTGTTTTATGGAAATGTGTCCAGACCAGTTGAGTTCACTCCTTTTTTCCTCTCTGGGCTCTACTCCTGATTCTGTGGACTTCTTTCTCCATCATGTGCCTCCACACTCTCTCCCCCCACTCCCTCAGATCCCCCCTTTCAGCTTCCTTTAATGTGTTGTCTTTCCCCATTAGAATGTAAGCTCTTTGAGGACACTCTTTTTTGCTTATAATTAAAATGACTGAAGTGAAGGGTGCAGATGGTTAGATGCAGAGTAGGGTCTGCACCTAGGTAAATTGATTTAGTCAAGGAGGGCTTCATGGAAGAAGCATCCAGTTCCACCAACCTAGTAAGCCTGTGTGTGCAAAATACTGTGCTTTGATACAGAGGTTATAAAAATGACAAATGACCTAGGCTTCCTCAAGGAACTTTCTGTATGATAGGAAGGATATGACCTACACACAGGCAATTGTGATACAAAGTTCAGCAAAGGAGAGATCTAGATAAGGTAATCTGAGAAAAAGGGAAGAGGGAGAGAATATTTTCAGCCATGTGATTCAGGGAAGTCATTATAGAGGAGATGCCACCTGGGTTTTGATGGATGCATGAGCCTGACTAGGCCTGAGAATTAGTGTGATAGCCTTTTCTGTTCCAGGCAATTGGAGCAGTGGCAAAGAGAAGGACCTTCTCGTGGTATGTCCATAAGACAGCGAGGAGACTGGTCCGTTTGGAGTACTGAGTTAGTGTTGGAAAGTACTGATCACAGAGGGCAGCGTGGACTATGGAGAGAAGAGGCCTTGGATAACAGGCCCCAGGCATGGGGGGGAAATGAATGAAAGCATTTACGAGGGGCCTTCTGGATGCAAAAGCATGTATGAGATGAAGACTAATTAGTCACATAGACTGTAACTTCTATGAGGGCATTGACAGGATGATGGTAAGCCCATGGAAGTCATCAAGAGCCAGATCTTAGGAGCAAGTGAAGAAAAAGTTCTTAACAGTTAGAGCTGCCCACAAATGGAATGGGCTTCTTCATGAAGAAATGAGTTCTCTTTCACTGGAGTTTTCGGGTGGAGGGTGGATGATCTCGTGTTGAGAATGTTGTACAATGGATTCCTTTTAAGGTCTGGTTTGGCCCAGGTGGTATCGGACATCCTTTGAGAGCTCTGGAAAGGAGAAGTTACTTTATATTGGGGTGGTCAGAAGAGCTTTTCTGGAGAAAGTGGAATGTGAGCTGGAATCTGAACTACACCTAAGATGTGGATGAATACAATTCACTCTTCTAACAACCTTGTGGTGTAGGTAATGTAAGTATAGAACACTTACATTATATACCTAAATACATATATAATATAAGATATATATATATGTATATATGCATGTATATATACATGTATAATATAAGTATTCTGCACTTACAGATGGGGCATTTGATGCTCAGACAGGGTAAGTTGTTTACCCATGTTCATAAACTTGTAATGGGTAGATCCAGTGTGATATGCTGGAGTTAGAGAATCTAGGTTCAAATCCCACCTCTGTCATTACCTAAGTGACCTTGGGTAAGTCACTGAACCTCTTTAGACCTCAGTTTCTTTATCAGTAAAATAAGGAGGTGGACACTAGATGACCTAACGGGGTCCCTTTGGGCTCTAGAGATACGATCCTAGCTCAAGGCCTTCCTACTATCTGCCTCTCAGAGTTCTGAGGAAAGTGTTGTTGTTTTTAAAGAATATTTTTTTTTTTTTCTCACTTACATGTAAAAACAATTTTTAACATGTAATTTTTCAGTTCCAAATTCCCTCCTCCTTTATTGAGAAGATAAGCGCTTTGATATAGACTATACATGTACAGTCGTGAAAATCATATTTCTATATTAACTATGCTGCAGAAGAGAATACAGACTAAAAAAAGGAAAAAAAATTAAAAAAAAATATGCTTTGACCTGCATTCAGATTCCATCAGTTCTTTCTGTGGAGGTGGATAAAATTTTTCACCTTAAGTCCTTAGGAACTGTCTTGGATCATTGTATTGCTGAGAACAGCTAAGTCATTCGCAGTTGATCATCGCACAATATTGGTGTTACTGTGTACAGTGATCTCCCGGCTCTGCGCACTTCACTTTACATCAGTCCTTGTAATTTGAGGGAAATGTTTTTTGAAAGCTTAAAGTGCTATGTAAATATGTGTTGTTAATCATTCAATAAACGTTAGGCATCTGCTATGTGCCAGGCCCTGTGCTAAGTGCTGGAGATACAAAAAGAGGCCCGTGATAATCCCTGCCTTTAGGGAGCTTACGTTCTAGTGGGGGAGAGAGCATGCAAACAAATATGAACAAAGCGAACTATGTACAAGATAAAAAGGAAATGATTACAGAGAAGACACAGGAATTAAGAAGGTTGAGAAAGGCTTCCTGCAGAAGGTGCAGTTTCGAGTTGGGACTTAAAGTAAGCCTGGGAAGTCAGCACTCAGTATGGAGGAGGGAAGGCATTCCAGACATGGGCTACAGCCAGAGGGAATGCCCGGAGCCAAGCGAAGGAAGCACCTTGTTTGATATGCTAGAATGATTCTGGAAAGAGCAGGGAGGCAAGTCAAGGAAAGAGCTTAACACAATTTAAGTGGAGGTACTGGATTGAGCTGGATAACATCTCAAATCTCTTAAGCCTAAAAAAAGGATTACGACTTCCTTTTTATTTGCTGTATACATAGAGGGTGTCGGTCACCGTCTGCATATTGAGGACCAGTTTTCTCTTTTTCTCTGCCTATTGAAATCCTTTTGTTTCAAGGCCTAGATGCTGCCCCTTCCATGAAACTTTCCTATCTTCCTCCTGGGCCCCAGTAGGCTCTTCTTCTTGGGATTTTCTTAGAGTAGCCTTTCTGAATCTTTCCTTTGCCTCTTTTGAATCCAACCTTCTATTATTTGTGTAGTGTCATATTTCTTATTAGATTGAAAGCTCCTTCAGGGCAGGAGGAACTATTCCCCAGTGTTGAGCATATAAATCTTTTGCACATAATAAGTGCTTAATAAATATTTGTTGTATTAATGAATTTCTTGTATATTCACTTTTACTTACATCTTATTTCTACTATTAGACTGTAAGATCATTAAGGGCTGGAAATGGTTTTTTTTCTTAGCTTAGTTCCAGACACAGTAAGTGCTTAATGGATTGATTGTAAAATGGCAGCCTGAACTAGACAACCTCAAGGTCCCTACCAGTTCTCTCACATTGTCATTCTATGACTCTAAGATTCTTTTCAGCTCTTACCATTCCATTGTCTAGACCAGGCCTGCATAACCTGTGGCCTGAGGGCCACTTACAACCCTCGAGCATGCCAAGGGATTTCAGGTGGCCTGTGAAAAACGTAGAGGATGTTTTCCTCTACATTTTTTGCAAGCTGCCCAAAATCCTTTGGCATGCTACAGGTTGTGCAGGCCTGGTCTAGGCTATAAACTGCTAGTTAACAAGCTCCATGAAGGCGGAGACTAATTCTTAACCAGGTTTTGTATCTCCCCTAAAACTTGACTTAGTTATCACTATGCAGTAGGTGCTTAATAAATATTTGTTGGCTGAATTAATGAGTAATTCTTTGTAAGATCCTTCCCCTCTCTGACATTCCATGCTCTGAGATTCCAAGCCTAGCTCCCTCAGGCTGTATGCTGGGAGTCCTAGGAGGCTGCCACCTCTGATGTTCTCTATTCTAAACCAGGCGAAGGGCAGAGTTCTTGCGTCTCCTCCTCATCACTTGGCCTTCAGTGCTGCATCCATTCCCTGAGCCAGGCTGTGTGCCCTCTCTCTTATTCTGAGAGAAAATTACAAGCGACTCTTGCTCTTTTGTGAGCTTTGCTTTGGGGGTACAATAGCTATTTCATTTATTAGCCCAGCGGGGGAGTCAGCTGGAGTGAAAAACCGCAATGTGGACTCCAATATCAATTACAGTCTCCCCAGGGGGATGGCATAGAAAATTCGACGGAAAAATAACATGTATGGGGTCTGGGGATGAATCACTTGGAGGAAGCAGCTGTGTTGATGAAATTTTTAGGCAGAGATGAGAGAGACAATACAAAAAG